ATTGGCTTCCTGATGATTTATTATGTAATTGGCAGAATACAATTTTACCTGACAAATAAAATGTTAAGTTTTGATTAATTCTGGAGTTTTGCGAATTCATTGGATCCAGTAGATTAGAGGAGTCTTCATTACCTTTATTGTATGGCATAATTGAATTGATTTATAGGCACATTTGATTATACTTAGCCATAGAGGCCTATAACATGTAGACCTTTTAATCATTTAACCACTGGAAGTAGCAAGTTGTATGGGCTTGGCTAAGGATCTGTTTTTTTTTAAGACTAGGTAGGCGTTAATGCGACCAGCTTATTGAAATATAGTTAATCCTGCATCCTCTGACTATTTTTAGAGTGTCGACATATTGTCCTTGAGAAGATGCGCAAACCCGGGGCGTGGAACTCTGAGCGATGTTGGTCCCTAATGAACGTACAATTAGAATATCGGACCTCAGAAAATATCAAAACTCTAAATGAAATCATAAATGATGAATGTGATCCGTTCTTACAATTAGAAATACAATCTAAATTTTAGGATCATTGAAATTGGAGTCAGATTGAATTCGGAGCTAAAAAACTAATATAAATAAATTCTAATAAATAATAAAATTATTTTCAGAAGCACTAGAAAAGGCTTACATGCATTAAACCATCGACCATGCTGTTAGTTTCGTCATTGGGCTAATAGATGGACTCCTACAAAGACAAAAAAAAATCATGAAAAGTAATTTTTTGTAGCGAAAATCCCAATATACAAATTAAAAGTGTAAAAAAAAAACACCTAAGAATCATGATCAGATACATGTCAATTAACACATATGTTTATAGTGTATTAAAGTCATGTGACCAAAATGTTGAAAACCATTTAAAACGTTTACCACATACTTAAAATTTTTTTATTGTAGCCTGCATTCAAAACAGAATGCTAGTATTCATCAAACAGAAATATTTTAAGCACATGAAACCATTCATACTCCAGCCGATATGAGAAGGGCTAATACAGAAAGCGTTTGATCAGCATATGAAATAAACCCAGTCGAGAACACACACCAAAACTCCAGTTACGACTTTGACCGTGATTCCCTCAGATCACTTCATCTCCACAGGGAACTGTTTCATTTACCATCTTAGTCTGTTTAGATTTATATTCAATCTGTCATTCTTGAAGGTAAACTCACCCTGGCCTTCTGCATTCATTACGCGCTCATGGAAAAACAAAGTCATTTGAACTTTGAAAATCCATCTCCGTGCGCAAACAGCCCAAACACAGTTCTCTCACGCCATATGTGAAACATTCCTCATATATCTTTAATACGACACCCAAATCTAGCTGGAAACTTCAGCATACTTTAATGTAGTTACTAACAGCTAGGAAATGTGGTCATAATTGTGTCTATTGTAGAGTTTAGTGCCATTGGAAGCGGAATATGGGCTTTTACTTCTCCCCGATTGGGTTATTGTAATTCCTATATCCTAAAATCACTTTTCAATATCTTTAAATTGACAAAGAGCAGTACTCCACTTCTAGAGTTTCAGACGTTTCTTCTTCCTGATTGAGTTACTGTAATTCTTCAGTTCCAGATGAGGTCACTTAATGTGTTAAAGTTGAAGAAGAGCTGAACACCACATCTAGGAGGCTAATGACTCAAAAATACTCCCAAAAATGGAGAGAATAGAATCAATATTCTCCTAAAATCTCTCTGATGGGATTATATCATTCACAAAATAGATTTTGAAATGCAATAACTGAGTTCTATACATTTGCAATGCCACAACGTCACCCCTTTCCATTCACAACCACCTTTTCAACAAGAGTTTCAGTGAAAAAGTCTCCTTTATAGATTTCATTTTTATGATTTTATAATCATTAAAAAATGTCAAATATCAAATGTAAAGTTAAAGGTTAAGTTACTTTTATATAAATCAATGTTATATGGCAAGCTATTTTAATATTTAAAACATAACAGTATCTATTCCTATGGTACTAGTACATATTATTTTGCATTAAGTACTTGTGTACTTATTTATTAGCTAATAATGCTAAAATTGTTTAGGTACTAGCACTTATTCAATAGATAATATAGTATAAATTGATTAGATACTACAATTTATTAAATTATGGCACTTATTTGTTGGATACTAGGACTTATTAATAGGCCCACACAGAATCTGCGCGCGCAGAATTCCGCAGATTTTTAGCACATCAATGATTCTGTTTATTTACTTATGTGAATGTGTGTACATTTACAATTATTCTGTTTTTTTTTATTAATTTCAATAATATTATTGACTAATATGAAAATATTTATATGATTTATTTACAATATAGTTTGTAAAGTAACATTTTCTTTTAGTAGATCTATTATATGATAGATTTTTTTTGTTTAACAAATAAAGAGTATCTATTTGGATTTTTATTGTAAACATTAAATACAAGTAGAAACTTAATTTTATATATTAAGGTTTTAGTTATGATGCTCCTAAAATCATTCCGCAGATTTTTAACAAATTCTTTGCAGAAATAGCAAAAAATGTCTGCGGATTCCATCTGGCCCTACTTATCAGATACAGTATAGTACTTATTTCAGTAGTGTCTAGTGATTGTTATATTGTTACTACAAAAATATAGTAGTAACCCACTATTAGATACAAGTGCTAAATCATTACATACTGTAGACAGTTGTAAATATTTAAAAACTAATCTACTATTCATAAAGGTGCCAATACCTAAAAAAAAAATGACTAGTACTTATTAGTAAAGATTAGTCAAAGAAGCTTAAAATGGGTGCTGTTATGATTTTTCTTTTAGATTGAAAGTGCAGTTGGTGATCTGCCAGAATGCTAACATTAGCATAATAGTTTTGAAAATTTACATCCGTCCCCTGCTGTCCAAAGCCATGCCTCCTTAAGTCATGAAAGCTTGAACGTGCACCTAATAGATGATGATCTGATGATAATACACAACCTTATATAACACTAGATCAAGTCATTCACCAGTTAGAAATCTCTATGAAGACATGCACTTTTCCAGCATAGTTGATGAGGAATTATATTTCCCAAAACTGGCATTGAGGTAAAGTTGGTTTTATATTCGCACATTCACACGTTCTCCTTAATAATATAGCTTTAGAAATGTATTGTTTACAAATTCTAAATAGTTGTATCATAAACTCAGGCAATGACTATACAATACAACATCGTTCACAGTCAATTAAATAGTGCTGATGTTGTTTTGAAGTCATACTATATGCTATTTCAGACTGAATATTCAAAGTAACGTTAGTGTGGGAGTGTGGCACAGGTTGACACTTTTCAAAATTGTATGAATGTGCGAATATCAATCAAACTTCACCTCAGTAAAGCTGGTTAGGTTAAAGAGCACTATTTACTTATGTTTCGTTATTCGCAAAAAAAAAAAGCTAAAAAAAAGGAGTGCTAAAAACAGAAATATCCTGTCTTCATGTCAGCGAGTTACTTTTCATTTTCAATTGTGCTCGCTGATCCTTGTACAGCACTTGTTTTCATCTTCTTTTGCATTGAACAGCTACACGAATGCTTATGTCTATTTAAAAGACTATATTATCGGTGCTGTAAAAGGTACTCCATGAACTTCAAAATAGTCAATCTTTCGCATGACGTTTTCAGTGGCTGAAAAACACCTCTGTGCATATAAACCCAATCATAAACAAGAACACAATCTACATAAGCTTTGCGTGACTAAAATAAAATTAAAACATGCCTGTCTAAAAGTAATACTTCAGCCATGGTGTCACCCTTCAGATCATTATTTTAAATAACGTCATTTCCCTTCAGCGTACAAAAGTATCTCCGATATTGCTTCAGGATTAAGAAAAATTCTGTTTCTGCATTTTTGGCAGAAGCCCTTTTAAAAACAATCTTTCTTTTCATGAATACAAGGCCATGTTGTTTTTTCAGAAAGAAGATCAGGTTGAGTTTGCCTGATGTTACTCTCTGTCAGCTGTAGGTGGCCTTGCTTTACGTGAACACGCAAATAACAGCTCTGTTTGCGTGAAGTGGCTGAAATTGAGTTGCTTGTCGGCCTGACGATTTTTAATTGGACGAATGTTTTTAGTCTTATGCCTTACCCAGAATCTAAAAATATATTTAAACACATTTAGATCATTTTCTTTAATCATTGCTATTAGAATGTAAAGAGGCTTTTAACAATACAACACAAAATGTTTCTGAAGAAAATTACCTACTCCACCTTTAAATGTTAAAAAAGCCTGCCATATTACAATCCCCCCAACAGTCTTCTGATACAACACAATAGGGCTCAAATCTCATTTGCACTTATTTACATTCAGAAATGACATGCCAAGACATGTTGTGGCAGCTCTGGTGTGAGCAGCAACCGCTGTTGTCAAATCTGGTGCAATTTGACTTGACACTGCCATTTAAACAAATGCATGAAACCTGACAGTTCTGATGGAGGGGCAGATATTTCGACACTGTTACTGTGTTTATTTCATTGTTGAAGCTTGATAGTCACTATTCATTAAAAAAAAAAAAATTCCAAAAATAGCATGTTCAACAGGTGTGTGACGACAAAACAAAGAAGACAAATTTGGATTTTATCTTGAAATCTAAGGAAAGAAGGTTTCAGACACTTTAAAAATAGTACACTAGCTTTAAAAATGTGCCAGCTATCAAGTAAACAACCACAAAGAAGTACATTCTTTACAGTCATGAATGTAATCTGGATGCACTACAATCACCATATTGTCATCCTCATACTATTTCCACTTGCTGAACTATTTATACAACTATACTATTTATATTTAGCTATACTATTAATTCATTTGCTGAACTCGCTGAAGTAACAGTGCTTTGTTTATTATATACCGCTTCTCACCCAATATATAGTATAAAAGTATGTGATTTCAGATGCCAGCTTTGAGCATTTGTTTCTCCTATGGTACATGGAGACAAATTAGCACACAAACGGGGCATTTCAAGATGGGCTGTGATGTTTTTACTTACCCAGAACACCCAATCTGTAGTTCATAGTGACGACAATCACATTTCCATAGGCCGCAAGAACGCTTGCATCAAACATGTTTCCCGTTCCCTCCATAAATGAACCACCATGGATGAACAACATCACAGGCTTCTTCCGACGATCTCTAATATCTGTGTAAAGCATAAACATATATACAAAATCATTAAGGATAAATGATAATATATAAATGTCAATGCTGCAGCTTCACTGAAAACTGGAAAACCTTTAGCAGGAAAGAACTCAACCCAGCCTCATCATAAAAACATACATCAAATCTAAAATATGCTGCATTGAGTTTGTATTGTTGCATATTTGAGATGACAAATAGCTCATTTTTTATGGTGTTGTACTTGTGATGCAGAGCGCTTTAAGTTTGAGTTCAGCGATACACAGTTCCACAAAAAGGATAATAGTAATGTAAAGTCAAGTTAAATTATGTGGTCGCAATGCACTTTTTTCTTATGTCTACATCCGTCAGATCACACTATTATGCCTTTCTTTTCTTTTTTCCCCTTTAAAACACGTTTTAATACTTTTTATTCTCTGTTGTTTTTATTTCATATATTTTTTCTTGTATTTTATGTTTCATTTATTCTTGTTTATGTAAAGCTATTTGAATTATTATTGTGCTACTGTATATAAATAAACTTGCCCTGCCTTGCCTTCCCTTCCTATTGGTTGGGTTTAGGGGAGAGATTAGGTCAGTGGTTTGATAGAGTGCATGACATGTACAAGAAGGATGATGACATGTACAAGAGGGATGTGTATCTGAAACGTACAACAAATCGTACCTCGTGTAATGTATTTCAGATTCGCAAAAATGTAGACAAACTGACCATGCCAAAAAAGTTGTCCATTTAGAGATAGATAAGGCAAATGTGTTAGGCATCGTTAAGTTGTTTTGAGGTATTTACTTGGAAAATAACATAAAATTCTACTGTAAAATATTTTAAGTCATTACAAAAAAAAAAAAAAACATAATTCCTATTTACATTCGCTTTTTCTTGTTCACTTAACTTTTGAAAACATCAGCTGCACTGGCCTAAAATTATGTGTTTGTAATAGAAAAACATTTAGTTGGGTTAACATAGACTTATTAGTTTTCTGGAGAGGTCAACTACTCTGTAACAAAATGTTTTAAGTTGTGCCAACTGAAAATTTTTGTCTGCAGAACTGGAATGTCTGAAGTTGAGTGAAAAATTAAAAATATAATCCTTATTTTCTTAACATTTTTTTTCCACTTTTTATTGAAAGGACAGTAGAGAGTACAGACAGGAAAGCGTGGGGAGAGAAGAAGGTTCGAATGGGAATCGAACTCGGGTTGCTGTAGACACTGGAGTGCCATGTGTCAATGCACTAACTACTACACCATCAGCACCGACTTAACTTTTGAAAACATCAGTTGCACTGACTTAAAATTACTGAATTTGAGTGAACAAAAAACTCTTTTGGAAATTGGTACAAGAAATAATTCATTATCAGAACAAACAAACATAGTTCAACTGTAAAAAAAGGCATGCTTCACATGTGAAGCATTACAAAGGATTTTTCTGTTTGTCCTGCCATGTTTTGATAGTCTAGTTAAGCAGTTTGATGTTAGTTTTACCTCCTGTCTTGTTTCTAAATTTGTTTCTAATAAATGTTTTGTTTACATTTGTCTCTAAGTTTTTTTTTTTCAATTGAACTATGCTTGTTTGTTCTGATAATATATTATTTCTCATATATATTATATGAGTTTTTTTGTTCACTCAAATTCAGACATTTTAAGTCAGTGCAACTGATGTTTTCAAAATATTATAATATTTTTAAAGTTGGAGTCAAGTTTGGGCCAGCTAATAAAAATTAAGAGAGAGACTGAGTGCACATACTTTATTTTAAGGCAGAACTACTTATTAAATCATATTTAGAAGCTGCTTGACTTATTTAATTATTTTTTGCAATGTAGTGGACCGGTATTAATGAGACTAGTGTGCCATCATTTAGTGGTCACATCAAAAAAAATGAGTCAAGGAGGAGATGGTAAAAATAGGGATTGGTATTGCTTCCAGTCCACTTGTCGCTCTTTAAATAGAAGGTCAACATGAGCACACTGCATTATGGGGGAAACACAGCAATATGTTCTGTTGTACACAGTACTGCAGATTTAGTAGGTCATCCAAGTATACTGTACACTGCAGGAACAGTAAGAGTAATATGTTAGTACACAGTTCCAAACATATCCCCAATGGTCTTCACGCACTCTGGGATCTTTTGGCACAGTCTGCCTTGGATTGGCTCATCATTTCTGCATCCTGCTGGCAGAGTCTGTCTGTTCCTCTTCCAAAAAACTCTGCTATTCTGATGTATCTCTGTATCAGTTATTACAGTCTGTGTGCGCTCGGTTTTTCTCAAGTCTCGGATCTCCCCTCTAGGTGTTATGTTGGTAGAATCTCTACCTTTCCTGTTCCCTTGGTACCTTCTCTGTCCTTCGACCTCCGCTAAACTCCCCTGCCTCAGGTCTCCAGATTGGTATATTCTGTCTCGTTTAGATTCACATCTACGTGTGCTGTTTATTGGTACAGGTTGTTCCTCTTTGCATTTTCTTGCAGTGTGTTGCACACAATCATGCATAAAGCTAAGAAGAAGGAAAAAAAATGAAGAGATCAAATGATAATTCTTAGTTTTACTGCATTTATTAGGTATGGGGTTAAGTAAAATGTTCATATTCGTTGTATTGTATAAAAGTCTAATATTATTACTTCAAAATTTCCAATAAAAAAAAAAACTGTAATCTAAAGTGTTTTTAGGTTTAGGTATTCCTCAAGATCAGGGATTCTCAACTGGTGGGCCGTGGCCAACTATAGTGGGCCTCAGCCATCCTGCCGGTGGGCCGCGAGATAGCTTCAAAATTAACTCTCAATATTTTACTATCATTTTAGGATTTCATGAAAAATATGCTTTCTCCAGTTTGGTGATTAATTACTTCAAACTCAAAACAGCCCCATGATCGCGTCTGCAACTAGTCTGTTTATTTACAAACTATGCGTGAAGTGAAAGTAAAAGTCTCTCTTGGTGTACTTTTGTGGGAACTACTTAATATATCCACATAGTTGTCCAAATTAATGTCTTGCGAATTTTTTATAATGGACGTGCGCTCATACAGGAGGATCTAGCAAGGCATATTGGTGTATCTGCCATGGACTGTTAAATAAGCTTGCATATGAGCTTCAGATGCGCTCTGACGGAGCTGTTCACTGTTCCTGTAAGGGATCTCACAATAGTATCCAGCTGCAAACCGCCATCATATCATCGGATCTCAACAGATTTAGGGTGTTTTACTGTATTTTACATTTGTCTGTATATTTTTGAATAGTGGATATTTAATAGTAGATATTCTGTCAGTCCAGTTTAAAGCAGAAGCTGGGGCCTCATGTATCAACACTGCGTACGCACAAAAACTTTGCGTACGCCAGGTTTCACGCTCAGAATCGCTCACGTTTGGATTTACTAACAATGAACTGAACGTGGGAATGTGCGCAGCTTCACGGCAGCTTTATGGCAGGCGTACGCACATTTTTTGTGCGGGTCTGTTTTATTTCCATTGGCGGCTCCTAGAGGTAGTTGTGTTAAATTCCTTTCTACAAAGTGTCTGAGCCTTGCAATGGCAGCTGTATGAGACGGGTTCAGCAGGTATATAAGGTTTCCATACCATACATTTGACCAGCTAAACATTAAAGCACAATTTGCAGCCGTCGCCTGTTTTCCCAATGTAATCTGAGCGATCTACCGCACGCACATTGCTATAAAGACACTATCTGAAGATGAATTTGCATGCGTGAATCAGAAACATTTCCATTCAATAAATGTGCAAATAAAATATGATGCTTATTGATATGAACTTATTGATGATTCCTACTTGTCTTTCTCGTGATAAATATTTGGCAAAATCTTATATGTAGCGGAGGAAAAAACAAGAAAGAGTTCATCAGACGCTGGATTCGAGCCGAGTTCATGCTCGAACGTATCAATTCATGATCACATTCGTCTTATGAGTAGCGCCACTGAGACTGTTAAGCGTACTGCAACATTTTACACCTATAAACCACACTATTTCTTTTGTTAATGCACTCAGTGCGATGTTCAGACCCAACTGTATTGACCGCATCAGCTAAACTCTCCCACTCTATTTTTTCTTTTGTTGTTAATTCCGGAGAACAAACTTGCAAATAACACCGCTTTTCTCCGGTCTACCACCGAAAGCAGCACCTCCAATTCACATTCTGTTCAAAGTTTCTCTTTTTGCTTGCTTTTGCCTTTGCTTTTTCGTTGGGTTTTTCCATTAGCATAGTCATTAGCATATTCATACGGGGGAGGAGGCAGGGAGGGGTTTTGTGCTCGTGCATATTGCGCTCAGTTTCACGTTCATTCAGATGTACAAAAGAATATGCGTGAGATTCGGCGTACGCAGTGTTTCATACATCTGAATTTTTTTCTGCGTACGCACATTTACAGCTTTGTGCGTACGCAAGGTTTTAGTAAGATTTCCACGCAAGTCTTCGTACATGAGGCCCCTGGTCTTTTGCAATCTCCCTGTTGACCTGTGGTTCTCTTTGAATCTATTTATGTTAATATATATTTACAGCTGAGATCAGAAATACTAGCCTACTGTTTGCTTATTTTTTACCCCAATTTCTGTTTAACAGAGAGAAGATATTTTCAACACATTTCTAAACATAATAGTTTTAATAGTTTAATAATTATTTCACTAAGACACACACACACACATATATATATATATATATATATATATATATATATATATATATATATATATATATATATATATATATATAATATATTTTACTTTATTTTATTTTATATTTTGCATTTCCTACACACATTTTAGAGAAAATGTCAGACAGGTTGATCAGAGAAAGAAGTGGGCCCCGAAGTAAAAAAAAGTTGAGAACCCCTGCACTAGATATTGCTGTTTTAACTGTTCTGAAGTTAAAACTTTGGCATTGTGTTGTCTAAAACATTTACATAATATTTTTTATGGCACAATAAATGCTTTTGAAGTCAGTAGTTATGTGTTTGAGTAAAACAAAATGTTAAAGTTTTCCTGTAAACAACTAATTGCATTTTTAATGTA